AGTATATATATATCTATATATAGATGTATATCTATATATATCTATATATAGATATATATCTTAGCTGTGATTTCCTCCCCAGCTGCTCCCCTACCATGTTTCACTGTCTCACTCTTAGCAATCCAGTATACAGACATGCTTACTATACACCTCTAGATATAGGGAGGTATAGTATAATCCTTATAAAAAGTATTGAAACTTAAAGTAGTATTAAACTCTAACACTTTTTTTTAATAATGAATCCAGATCAAACAAATATACATTGCCCAGCAAAGTATTTCTTTACGTTTTTGCCCAAGTCATGGTTTCAGAACATCCCCAACTCTCTCAGCTCCACTTCCCTGAACTTCCTGTCCAGTACAAGAACACAAGCAGCGGAGCTGTCTCTAGCAGAAGTCCAGCTTGGAGACGGGAAGAGGGGGGAAAGAAAAGGGAGGGAGGAGAGAAGGTGGGAGGGAAGTGCCTATGCAATTGGGTAGATACACACAGCTTACTAGCACACACAAGGGTGGCTTCATTGGACCCTCCAAGGGAAATGAGCCACCCTAAAGTAGGATATCAGGACTATCTGATTCTGCAGGAAACTATAACTTTTAAACATTAAGAAGCAGCATCCATTGTAAGTGATTTAATCAGCTTAAAAAGCTTTTGACTTTAATATCACTTTAAGTTCTGGTACATACTGTCTCTTTGAGTAGACTATAGATCACTACAGATATGCAAGAGCATTCTCCTGAAAACCAACAAAGAGCAGAAAGCAGACACTCCATTCTGGACCTTTAGTCTCCTTTTCGCACTCTTGATGCCAACGTTGGATTCATAGTGAGACCGGTTCATACACCCTAGGCACACATGATTGGTTATGTCCCTAGATACATGTTCCTTCTTTTTTATGACTGTCCATGATACCTGATTATTACTGTTGAATACTGCATAATGTACTATTGGCCTATCAATCAGGATTCTTCAGAGAAAGCAAAGGTGACTTAAGAGTCTCATGACACCTTTCCCCTTTCCCTTTCAGTGTGGCTGCTGGATTTATCCACAATTTCTAAGTGGCCAGAGTCGCCAATATAACAAAAGACAAACAGAAATGATAAACATTGTGTCACTGCTCTCTTATCTTGCTACCCTAGGCACTGGCTCACAAATACCTGGCAATTATGGCCCTGGATGAGATAGATGAGTACACGGTGAACAAAGGTTTGTTGTAATGCAGCTTCAGTGAATGAACTCTGGATATAGAAAAGGCATGACAAGGAAGCTGTTTTGCAGCATTGCAGCTGCTATGGTTCTATATATGAATAACATTGAATACAATGAATTGAATCACTACATTTCATATTTTATGTTGCCAAATACACAAGAATCTTCTATGTACATTAATCACGAATTCATCTACTGATCTGCTGCCATGTTTTGTGTATTCTTTACAAAAATATCAATTAACATCACAACCTGCAATCTTTGTACAAATATAAAAAATTTTCATGTTTTGTTGTATATACCATTGCATGTAAAGGTGTATGTGGTTGATATGAGATGACTACTGCTGATCTAGTTGATTATAGTGGATTAAAAAATGACCGTATGGTTATGAGAAGTGTATAGACATCTGGACCACTGCAGACACCCTTGGACAGGCTAGACTTAACATACATGTTTATGCTATGATCTTTTCAACGGATAGTCGTGCAGTGTTCAGGTCTTTAGACCGCCATCTAATAATCTTTAATTCTTTATATCGCCATCTTTATAGATGGCTTGCACCTTCCAATATGTATATATAGATTCCAGTCTGCTGTATATTGGTATTATATCACAATATTCTGTGATATCAGTGCACTCCATTGCCTTTTATAAAGCTATGCCTTCTAACATTGTATGTCCCTATAGGCAAAATGTGCATTAAAAAATTGAGATTTGAATTCCACATTAAAAAAAAAAACTGTTCAGGAGATTTACTATCCAGCTTTTATTTAGAGGGCACACTGCACAATATATACAACCAGATAAGTGTGTCTGTTTTTGTGCTCATATTTTTTTAAACATGGCACCATTGCTGTTTCACATCATTTTCTTGGAGTGGAAGATGAAATTTGCAGTCATAGGTGTGAAAAGTAGTTATTCCTTCAAAGTCAATAATAATTGATTTTGACACCTTTAGCTACAAAAACAGCAACTTAATGCTCCATGTAGCTGTTGACCAGAGTCCTCCATCACTGTAGATATGTTGGCACTTTTCAATGCAGAACTCCTTTAGCTCAGTAACATTAGCAGATGTTCAGGCATGAACAACTCTTTTCAGATCTTTGTGCAGCAGATTTTACTGTAAGGACTAGGGCATACGATGGATTGTTTTTTCTTCTTTTTTAGACACACTGACGTTGGTCTGTATGTTTGGGATAAACAGCTACGTAGTGGCAGGCTTAGTTTTTTTAAAAGTAAGAGCCTATAGTTTTTATTTATCTAGGGTTTTTTTTTTTGTAAATTCAATACAAAGGAAAAATACACAGGACTATTTAATTTCTTTTTAATATTAAATATTAATTAAATATTGCATATGGTTGTGTTACTCTATTCAACACAACATAACCATATGCAAGAGCGATGAAGAAAATAGAAATAGAACTTAACAGCACATATGCCCCCTCTATCTCTCTCTCCCTCTCCCTCTCCCTCTCCCTCTCTCTCCCTCTGTCTCTCCCCCTTTCTCTCTCCCTCCCACTCTCTCTCCCCTCTCTCTCTCTCTCTTTTTCTATATCGCTCTCATATTTTGACAGCTGTAGGAGCTGGCTATCTAAATAGAGTGGCATGGGAGATTCTCTTTAGTGCAGATGGAGCAATCAAGTGTTTTTAGTTGTTCAGCCCATGGGGCTTATGAGAAAAATTGTACCTAGACTGCTACTCTGTCCAAGACCATATTAAATAGTATGGCTGGAGTGGGGGTTCAAATTCTTTTTTACAATGGAAATTAAAATGGAACTAAATGCCATATTTTGATTCTTGACCTCCTCCTAAAAATGGCTAATTGCCTGGTTGTCAAGCTCACTCACTGGCTTCAAAATTTTCAAAACCACTCACCTGGGATAAGTGTATAGATCAGCAGAGTCAGAGAAAAGTCAGAAGCCCTTATATGGAGACTTCCTCATGGTCCGTAACTCAAAGTACTGAAACAGGGAGGTTATAGGACAGGAAGACAAATAGCATTTTCAGAAGAAAGCAAATGGTAGCCTATATGTTTGTTTTTCTTCAACAAAAGGTAAAATAAATAAGATATATAATGTATGTCAGGGATTAGACAGGAAAGGAAACACAGAACAAAAAAGGAAGTTGGGCACAGATAAATTGATGGAGAAATCATGGACCTATGATATACTTCCTAGATATAAATAATTATGCATCATTTTCAGATAATCCCTAAAGTACCATGTTTCTTTATGTTTTTCTGTAGGGGAACGTTGACCTACAACCCATCAGTCATGATGGTCCAGGAGTATCCTTCAGAAAGTCCAACCGTTTTTCGGACATAGCCATGAACAGCTGCAGATACAACGGGGGGATCCCAAGACCCCTCAGCAGCCTAAGCTCCTCCAGGAGAAATCTCCATGAGGCAGACCCAGAGACCCAACCCCTGCAGACCTTACACAGTCCAGGGATTGAAGTGGTAGTGAGCAAAAACGACCCAATCAAATCATCACACCGCAGCCTACGAGGAGGGGATGAGGGTAGCCACGGAAGTCACCGGGGCCAAAAGAAAAACCAAAACGTCGGCTACAAATTGGGTCATCGCAGAGCCCTGTTTGAGAAGAGGAAACGGCTCAGTGATTACGCACTTATATTTGGGATGTTTGGTATTGTGGTCATGGTCACCGAGACAGAGCTATCCTGGGGGGTCTACACTAAGGTAATGATGAAAACGTGACACTGTAATGTGTAAGATAACAGATGTATTTTGTGACGTGGCACAATGAGCAATGCCGTGCGGTAACCATTAATTAGCAATCACATCTCTGTTTCCATTAATACCCAATCATATTTCATTTTCATATTTTCAAACGTTTACAGTAGTCCAAAAAAATTGTTGAAAATTATGACTAATCGCTCCAGGTTATTGCACATCATTGCTTATTACAGTATTTCAGTGCTATAAGCAAAGAGCAATAGGATTGTCTTCTACCCAGCCTTATCAACTTCACATCTGTCCTTTCCTATCAGTTCCAGTTGTTTTAACAAAATACACTGTCAGATTGGCAGACAGTTTCAACTGAAATCTTTTGTATTGCCTGACAGCTTGTATACATGTATTGTTTGCATAGCTTCAAACTTATATTGTGTTACTGTTCAATAAGCCTTGTGCATTGCCATTGTTAGCCATACTTTTTCATATCTCTCTTTTTTTTTTGAGCCGCCCACTGTCATTTCTCTATTCTTTTAAGCTTTTGGATCAGTTATACTATAAATCTCGAAAACAAATTTGCTCCTGAAATGAAATTATAATTATGCTTGGCCAATGTGTTTTCATAGAAGATTGGATTTTTGGAATGTTTATCTGTCTGTATGAGCACTAACAGCTTCGAAATGCAGATGGAGATTTCAGTCTAACCATGTAATACACTTTTGGAAAAATGTAGTTTATGCACTAATCCTTTCTCAGCTGACAATGGCAACTTGGCAAGCAGGATTTTGATTTTTTTTGTTTGTTTGTTTGTTTTCTCAATTTCTTTCATTATTTGAAAGATTTGCAAATGATTCAAGACATCAAAAAATACTAGTACTAGCAAAAAAATGATTACCGATGTTTGCAAGGAAGTTTAAAGTGTATGTAAACTGTAACAATTACCTTCTCTTCTTCAATTTGTACTGTTAAACATATTGTTGAAAGCGTTTTAGAACATCTGTTCCTGTTCTGATCCTGCCAGAAATCTAGTGAGCTAATCATTTTCTGTTCTCCTCCCTGCTGTGGTGTCTTGTTATCCGTTAGTATGGTACCAGTTCTCTCTGCGGAGTGCAAAACGCTTTCCCTTATAAGGCCTGGTTCACACTAAGTGTATTATCGCAGCTGAATAAGTGCGACAAAATGCTTCACAAAGAAAAATCTTATTCATTCTTATGGCCCCTGTTCACACCTGTGTGTTTATTCGCAATAAGCAAAATGCCTGTCGCGGGACAAAGTACACAAGCTTCTTTTTGGCAGATTACAGCTCATTTTGTTCCCATAGAGCCAATACAAAGCGCTTGGAAACACACGGTGCAATTGGTTTTGCGTGTTTTTATGTGCATACTGCCCATTTACATCAACGTGTCACAATCTGCTCATAAAAACGTGCAGCTTACTGCATGCCCGTTTCTATGCGCAAAAACTTTGTCGCCTAGTTGTGAATGAGGGGTAGTTGAAATAAGAAGAGTTCTGTAGTCTTAACATACTTCCTGTCCTACTTTAGAGTGACAACGCTGCTTATCCAGAGTTACAGTGCAGTGAGTCAGCGTTGTTACTCTAGGACTGGAGGTGTGAAAATAAAAAGGTAAAAAAATCCAGACAAATGAAAAGAAAACAAATGCAGCAAGCACATATAAGGACTGAGAAATTGCAATATATAAAATTTTTGTTCTTGAGTTTAGATACACTTAAATTGAATGATCAAGTGCCTGCAGTAATGAATTCAGTGTCAGTTAACAGTCATGTTGTATATAAATGTACTGCTGATGATGTATGGGAGTGGTTTTTTGCTTTTTAAAGGCTATTAAATTCTGAAATAATGTTTTCTAATTATCCATGAAACTAACTGATATTCGTGTAACAGGTACATTTAGCCACCTAACTATTTTTTATAATAATTGGTTAACAAAAGGTGCCAATAGTCAGTAGGTTTACATCCTCAGGGCTGTATTCTAAGGCAGCCCGTGGCAGGAGGTGATCATCACATGATCAAGATAGGTCTTCTCAGATTGGGCGATGAAGTGACCTGTGCAGAGTCAGGAAGATGCCAACCAATGTATTAAAAGCAAACCTGTTGTGAGAGAAATTTGGAGGCTGCTCTTACTAATCTATTTCTGAAAATGCTAGTTGTCTGGTTTTTGTAAGATTTTCAGAGTCAGGGGTCCAAAGAAAACACATGGCAAACCATACAGTAACTCCTGATCTGCATACTGTTTCGATGCAGTGACTATGACAATCCTGTAGTCAAAGGTTCTACATGAAAGCTAGGCAGCTAGCATTTTCTGAAGACGATCAGTAAATGTTGTGACTGCTTCAGGCAACATTTGCAACACTTGAGTATGGTAGAGAAATTGGCCCCAAAATGGTTATGCTCCAGGTGGACCTATGGCTATCCCACTGGCCGCGAGTGCAGGTCTCCCACAGTACACATAACAAATAAGTCCAAACTGCATCACAGCTGTATCCTTTTTTGTCAAATATTAATAAGCTTCAGGCCCCATTCACACGTAGCGATATATCGCGCGATTTCCGACCGATATCGCGCATTTTTGCCGCGCGATATCGCGAGAAGTCGCCGGCTAATGATATTTAATGGAGCTGTCTTAGCTCCATGTCGCGCGTCGCAAGTCGCTTCTACAGGACCTTTTTTTCGGCGGATTTTGCTTTTTTCTAATGGAGCCCGACGCAGAAGGTCGCGATACCGTCGCTGGAACGTCGCACCGAAAGTCGCACCGAAAGTCGCGCTATCGCGGCCGCTGCAAAAGGTATGTCGCTACGTGTGAATGGGGCCTTATTGTTCGCTGGGCATTACATGAACCGCTAGGCCATACTTCTTCTCTGACCTTTCTGGAGAACAGCATATTTTTTTGATATTTGACAAACAAAGATTGATTCGGGGTGATGAATTTTGGCCTTTTTTGTTATATGGTAGAGAATGTTGCAAGTGTATGTACGCATCGGTGTTTTATCAACATTTATGAAAAACATTCTACAATTGTTGGAATTTCTGGTTTCACTAGATTATTAAACATTCCCTGCATTGTATGTGTGTGACCTTATCATGGTTTAGAGGAACTTTACCCAACAATTTATTGTCTCTTAAAGCAGCTACTATTAAGGCATGTCGATTATCTATGTTATCAGTGTACTTATTTAACCTCCCAACCAAACTCTCAATCCCTTAAATGGCTGATGTCATAGCTGATCAAATGTGCAGCAATATGGCAACTGCAATCCAAATAGATGCTCATATTGCACCTTCCTTGGCTGCAAGGCTCTGTTCACACCTAGCTTTGTTGCTCAAAGCCAAGCGCGGCAAAACACTCCAGACAAGGAATCCCATTAATTTCTTTAGCCCCTGTGCACACCTGAGCATTTTGTCGCAAGCAGAAAAATGCCTGTTGCTGGAGAAAGTACTGGAAAATTTGCTACTTTTTGGCAGATTACAGCACTTTTTGGTCACATAGATTTCAAAGGGAAACTTCATGCGACAAAACACTCAGGTGTGAACAGGGGCCATAGAAATTAAAGGGATTCCTTGTCTTGAGTGTTTTGTCGACTTAGGTTTGAGCAGCAATACAACTAGATGTAAACAGAGATGTATTCCGACTTAAGTTAAGGAGAAATGGTTTAAGATCTCAAAATGAAAGGAAGGAAATTGGTTGGAAAGCCTGATAACATATATGTGATAAATGTTTACTTTTCCAAATTTTGTCTTAAGATATCTTGATTCTTATGCATAGATGTAGCATGGCTATATCTTTATTTTGAATATTAAGCATAAAGATATTTAATCTAATAGGGTAGATTTTTTATATTTGACTGTTTTCAAAGACAATGATTCATACAGTATATTGTTTATGTGCTAGGATTAGTAATATTTGCATACGGCCGAAACTTTTTTCCTACCAACAATTCCTACACAGAACCTTGGAGTACAAAAAAGGGATTATCAGAGCCATGATTTTGACACATGAAATGTTGCCTTCCGTTTATATAAGAAATATTTGGAAGCAAAGGAAAACTGAATTATTTGCTGTCTATGCCTATGCATATGCCTTTGTCCTGAAGAGGGCATCCACAGCTGGATTTTACTTTATTTAACCAGTTACTACATTTGATGTTATCATATAGAATAACTAGGGATGCAGCGATACCATTTTTACGAGTACCGATATTTTTTTCTCAGTACTCACCGATACTGAGTACCGATAAAGGTTCCGTGTGCCCCGATTATCAGGATCAGGACCCGGTGCCCGGCTTCCTGATTGCCTGGGAAGCCAGTGTTCTATGCTCTATCGAAAGAACACCGGCTTCACTTGCCTAAGGTGCCTGGTTTCCTGATCAGGAAGCCAAGCGGCGGGTCATGAGGTTCTGTCCGGCTTCCTAATTAGTCAGGAAGCCAGGCTTTCTAGCAACAAGTGAAGCCCACTTCCTAGCCAATCAGGAACTCGGGCGGCACGTCATGACCCGCCTCCCGGCTTCCTGATTGGCTAGGAAGCCAACTTCAATTGTTGCTAGGCAGCTTGGCTTCTTGACAAATCAGGAAGCCGGAGGCGGGTCACGTTGTGCCGTCCGGCTTTTTGATTGGTTAGGTAGCCAGACTGCCTAGCAACAAGTGAAGCCGACTTCCTAGCCAATCAGAAAGCCAGGAGAAAGGTCATAATACTTTGACCCGGCTTCCTGATTGAAAAGGAAGCTGGCTCCATGCTGCCTCAGCACTGCCGGTGTTCTATTGAAATCTCCAACTCGTCGAGATCTCCGACTGGTTACATCACATCCGGTGACTTGCCAGTAGCTGATTTAGAGCAGATGGTGCTAGTGCGTGTGTGCTAGTGTTAGAATCCTCATCGACTGATCGACCTCCCGTCACTGCGCCTGCGTGGCTTCACAATCCCCATCAAGTCCTTCAACCCCCGTCAGTGTGCCTGCGCGGAAACCCAAAAGCGTGCCCACGTGAGGGCAAAACATGTGATCTCTTAGCATGCTGTGCCATGGGATGGGCGCGCAGGCGCACTAACGATGTGTGGAGGACTTGATTCTGCTTTTCGGTGACCCCGCAGGCGCACTGACAGGGGTTGGAGAACTTGACGTAGATCCGCGCAGGTGCAAGTGCCATCTCGTCTAAATCTCCTACTGGCAACTAATCCTCAAAGCTATTTTAAAAATGACCACACTGTTCTGAGAGTTTGTTACGTGGTGGAGTGGTCTCTGCCAAAACCCCTTTTCTTGCAGGGTGCAGCAGTGCTCACAAAATGTCAACTGCATGCTGCCAATTGCTAATTGACAACCCACTACTCAAGAAACTGTACCTTCACTGGCCAGCACAATAACAATAATGTTCATTGCATGTTTTTTGTGTTATCTGAGCAGTTATCAGTGTTTAATGGTATAACAGTATATATATGTGTATGTCTCTGTTAGAACTTTGGTTCAGAAAATGATATTCAGACTTTGGTTACATGTTGATCTAGCCTGTTTCATTGTTTTTGTAGGAATCCTCTTACTCATTTGCACTGAAATGCCTTATCAGCCTCTCAACTGCTATCCTGCTTGGACTCATTGTCATGTATCACGCCAGAGAGATCCAGGTACTATCTCTTGTTAAAATTAGACTACATAACAACCTATTACTCATCTTATCACATCTGTTGCTAAATTAGGAATTCAAAGGTTAGTATAAGGATAATCATATATACTAGATCAGTGTTAGCCAGATATGTAAGACGCACATTTATGAATACTTGCATGGCTACACAATGGGTATGGTTCAAAATACAAAAATGCAATGGTAGTAACATAACATATGATTCAATGTATCACTATTTAACATCATTACATATATAATATGTATATATATTGTACATGAATAAGAACACAAGAAAAAGCTGCCTTTTCAATAATTTATTCAACATCAATATCAATGATGTACTCTGGAAAAGTAAGTACATCCTTGGCATCAAACGTTGGTATTACCCCCCCTGTAGCTGAATCGACTTCTTTTAGTCATGGTTTATAAGCCTTTGACATCAAAATGTATGACCCCCTTCTCCATGCAGAATTCCTTCTAGTTGCAAGATGCTTTTGGGTTTCCCTGCATGAACTGCCCCTTTCCAATTCAGAATGTTAATGCAAATCAAATTAGGGCTTTGATTAGGACAGTCCGTAATCCTCTATTTTTTCTTTTTGAGCCATTCATATCTGGTTCAACTTTTGGACAGATGGGCTCACATTCTAATCAATGGCACATTGATTCATAGTTGACCGGATGACTGCAAGCTGCCAAGGCCCTGAAGTATCACAGCAACCCACTACCTTCACTTCACAGTTATTATGAGGTTCTTCTGAAATACTGTCTTCGGTTTGCAGCAAACATGTCTACTGTTACTGTGACCTAAGTATATCTTTGTTTGATCAGTCTTCAGCACATTGCTCCAGAAGGACTAGTTTTTGCCTATATGTTCAATGGCAAACTGTGATCTTGCTCTCTTTGGAAAGCAAAGTGCATGGTTTTCTTAACACATATCTTGCAGGTTGAATTGGTGCAATCTCTTTTTGATTGTAGATCCATGCACTTTGATCTGAACTGTTGCAAGAGTTACCTGAACACCCTGCAATGACATTTTTAGGTTCTTGGAGACTTCTTTCAGCATCAAAAAGGCAGCTCTTGGGTTGAATGTGCTAGGCTGGTCAGCCCTAGACAAATTACCAGTTGTTTGAAATCTACGCCACTTGTATAGTATAATGCTTACAGTGGACTATTCCATTTTAAATAACTTTTTAAATCTCTTTCCAGACTCATTGGCATCTGCAACTTCATTTCCGAGGGCCCTAGAGAGCTCTATTGATCTTGGCGTGATGACACAATACATGTAAATAACAAAGAGAACACTAGACCCTAGATGTAGAACCTCATCTAGTAGGTGTAAATATAATAGGTTCCATCTGCATACCTGCATACTCCCTAAGGAGGTTCTAATCATTGGCACCTTAGTTGGCACAGTTGTTCATTACATATGCAGACTCTGCTTACTGCTTTGCAGTTCTACACAATGGTTCTGCTTTACTGCTCCTTCTCACAATGCAAGTCTTCAAGTAAGTTAACCCATTAAGTCCACCGAATGCAGCCTCATGTGATGGGGAGGCAATGGTGCTGTACTGCTGCTAAATTCAGTGCTGAGACGTTGGTTGTGCCTGCTTGCAGTACAATTAGATGAACAGATGTTGCAGGGGACATGGCTATCAGCATTGCCACTGCTGATTCACAAGCCTGTAGCTTGTCAATAAGCACATGGGCACCTGTTTTATTCACTACTTTCTGGATGAACAATACTGCCTCTGTTGCTGAAAACCTCCAACTGTGCGCTGCAGTGTCTGGTAGGGGGAGGATGTGAGACACATATGAATGAGGAAGGAGGGGAGATGAAGTTAGTCTTTTGTTTACTTTATGAGTCTTGTGCTTGAGCATTTATGTTTATGTTGTCATATAGGAGCATTTAGTTGTATTTTAATAACACACTAACAAAAAATGTTTTCACTGAAAATACAATATTATTATTATTATTATTATTATGATTATTAATTCATATAGCACCATCATCTCCTGTTGCATTGTGTAAAGTAATAGCTATCAAAATGGGTGGGTAAAACAGATATCATAGGAGTACCTTTATGATTTGTGTTAAGTGCTTCCAGTTGTACAAATCATAACAATAACAGACAATAGGAGAGAGCTCACTATCTTGATGTGCTTGAAATTCAGAGGGGTATGGGGTAGAAACAAAGATGAGTAAGACTTGTCAGATTGTGGAGGAGGAAGCATTGCTGCATCAGTGACAAAAAAGTAAGATTTTTCTCAGATTATATGCTTGTCTGAAGAGTTGAGTTTTAAGAGTGCACTTGAAGATCTCAAGGGTCGGGGCGTGTTGAATGGCATGAGGATGGGAAGCAGCTGGTAAAATATGTGGAAGTATGAGGAAGTTTTTACAGTGGATGACAGGAGAGGGAAATGCACAGATCTGCACTTCCTGTAAAGCAGAATTCCAAGGAAAATTATTACAGTAAACTCCCCATTATCTGGCATTCAAGCAACCACAAAAAAAAAAAAAAATTGAGGACATCATATGTCCTCCATTTTTTTTGGGTGGTGGCTTGCGCACTAAAAAATTGTGGGTTGCTTGGTGCACACTATAAATTATATTTAGTTGTCAACGAAATTCTTTGTTTACATCTTACTGCCGGCCGTTGCCTACATTCTGCGGTCAGCAGCAGAATGTAAACAATGGGGAGCAATAGCCAGCCTGCTACTGGCTATTTCAAATTGCAATAGCCAATAGCAGGCTGGCTATTTCACCCGCTCACTGAGCAGAGGAGCGGACCTGAGAGAAAACTGTCTCCCTCAGGTCCGCTCCCCTGCTCAGTGGGCGGGTTCCACTTGGGGGGAGAGTTTGCCTGAGAGTTACTATTAACTCTGAAGCAACCAGAAACTATAGTTATCCACCACCTACCTGTAAAGTCTTACACTAAGAATTGTAGAGTACAAAAAAAAATGATGCTTTTTGAGGGCTACATGAGCTGGCAGCAAAATGGTCTTTCTGTGCAAATGAATGAATGCATGAATATATACTGTGTGTATTTAAAGTAGACCTATACTTACAATCTACATTTTGAGTATCTAGTGGGAATTAATTATCGTAGTTTAATGTGACAAGTAGAGCACTTCCTCACACGTGACATAGTGCATATGCACACACTGTTTTTATAGCCTCACCAGAGCCTATTAGGAGCTTTGTGTGGGCTTGATGTGTGTTGCCCGCTCCAGCTTCTGATTATTAGATTACGTTGATGGTGTCATCAGGGGGCAGCAACTAGGGACATGAAGAGCTGTTCCACAGGGACAATGTGCAATGGATGAAAATGTGTGCCTGAGCAAAGGAACAGCTGCAGAATGCCTACTGTAAATGCTATTAGACATAAATTCGGACATTCGGATGCATCCAAATTTCCGGGTGGCAGAAATAACGAATCCGAACAAATCCGAATGTTTGATAACAAAATTTGGATACATTTACCGCTCTCTGGCTTCTCTGCACTTGTATCTCAAATTAAAACAAAGTAACACAATATTGTTACAAAATGTAAATAATGAAAGAAGCTGAGAGATCTGTGTTATTCTGTAACAGCTTCTGCTTCTTTGAGGACACTTAGATCCCTAATGCAAATGATCTGACAGCTGTCACAGAATACACAAAAGTGTTAAACATGTTCACAGGAATAATAATAATGTAAAAAAACAGCGTGTGTTTCCCCCAACAATTCAGGCTATGCTCATGCCATGTCCAGGCCAGATCTGGAGCAGATCTGCAAACACAGTGCAGTGCATTTTTGCCGCAATTTTGCCATGTTACCATACCAGACCCTTAATCCGGGCAGCAGCCTGGCAGGGCTGGAAGGGGGGGCAAACAATCGCCCCCACCCTCCTCTCTCTCAACCATAACAGGCCACATGCCCTTGACATTGGGAGGGTGCTTTCCCAGGGGCCTCTTCCCCACAAACCTGACCCGGTGGTTGTGGGGGTCTGCGGGCAGACGGGCTCATCTGCACCCTCCCAATCCCTGCCAGGCTGCTGCCCAGATTAAGGGTCCGGTAAAGGATTTTAGGGGTTTTTAAAGGGTCTGGTATTAATTGTTCGGAACCGTATGCTGTTTTTTGTTTTTTTTACATCGGGGTCCCCCCTAACATTCCTAACAGGCCTAAAGGGTCTGGTATGTATTAAGGGGGGGGGGGGGGACGCTGTTTTTTTCCCTGCAAAGTGTCAGAAATTAAAAAGAAACAAAGTAAACATTTAATGTTACTTTTCTGCAACGAATATTAATTTGTAATGATCATTTAACTCATCCGGAATTAACGAAAATTCTGATTCAATTCTGAATCCGAATGCCAAAACAAATTTACTTTCAGACCCAAATTCCGAAACACTAAATAAGGAAACATCCAAAATGAAACGAAACAAAAGGCAGTGCAGTCCATAAAGAAAACAGTGGGCAAGACTAGGTGTAGCCGGGTGATGATTGGCAAGATACAGGCTTGTGAATCACCAGTGACAATGTTAAAAGCCATGCCACCTGTAACATCTTCTCATCCCACTGTAGTACAAGTTGGCACAGACCACATGAGAGTGGTAACTCTGCTCTGAATTCAGGAGCAGTGCAGTATTGTTGCCACATGTATTTGAGGGCCCTTGTGGGGGACTAAAAGAAAACTGTAAGTTCAGGTGCACTTATAATTAAGTGCTTCAGCACACCTTTTTTTTGTAATGAAAGGCCATAGTTCTACGTAATATGTCTTTTTGGCATTAGGAACCATCTCAGCGTCAATTTAGAATCTACTATCTTTTGGACCTCAGGTAGGAGCTAGAGAGCATTTGCAGGGTATGGAGGCATTTACAATAGTAACATTGGGAAAAGAGTACTATCCAATCCATAAAGGGGATCAAAATTGTAAATTTCAACTTTGACTGAACACTTTGAATGTTGGACCTTTTTCCCCAAAACAAATTTCCCTGTAAAAGGGCAGGTAGCAGCTCACAAAG